TGAATCCTCCTTATCGTAGGAAAATTGACAATCTGGATCAGCAATAACATTGTCCTCTGTCTCTGAAAAATCCTCTGTTTCTGAAATCTCTTCCTCTACATCATTATCCCAGTTAAAAATCTGTGATAAAGCCTCCTCAGATGTCATCCTTCTGGAGCTCATTTTTGGTGAGTTTGTCTAAAGCCTAGCGCACATCGACAAAATAACTGGAGTTTCAAGGCGGCTTTTGGCAACTGAGAGTAGATGATGGAGATGATCAGTTGCCGAAATCGGTCGATGTGAGCGCTCTTACAACTGGAGATAAACAGTCGATCTCCGGTTTCAGTCAGTTGCCCGTGTTCTACTTTTCGGCAACTAGTTGTCCTCAGATCCAGAGATATCACCCGATGTGCGCGCTCCAACAACATGTGTGTATTGCGTGTATTGCGCCCTCCACAGTTTATGTCAGAAAACACACTGTAGTTTGAGGCCAGTTGCTGTCAACTATTATTCCTGTGATTCCCGAGACTGGTCTGCTACTAGGAGTTGCCCGTTTACGCCAGATTGTCGATGTGTGCGGGGCAGCAACTCAAAGGCGACAGATATAATCAGGTGCCAGTCCGATGTACGCTAGGCAAAAGAGATGACATGAGAACAGTGACAAGGACAAGTGTGAGAAAGTTCCCTCTCTTCACACACCTGGCTCTGGATCTCAGAGGCAATCAAAGTACAATGTCAAAGAGACATGTTTTTTTGGATCTGAACAACTATTTACCCACATTAAAGCGTCTGGGTCAAAATGACCCGCAACATCATCTTTGTATACAAACTCTTCACAGACATTCCACTACACATCAAAGTGTCCAGATTTTACACACCTGTTCGAGACCCTAGATGAGGAAAAGTCACCAAATTTCAGCAAGAAAAAGAAAGGATAACCAGTACTTTGATCAACTCAAAAACTGAAATGGGTCAAATTGACCCTTAACATAATACAAGGGTTAAACATATTTGACCAAAACAAATGTTATGTATAGGGCTGTTTAATTAAAAATACTTTGTAAACACTTTTTACAATTTCATTCTGCAGCCAATATAGAATTATTTGAGTCAAACAACCTCTTCTCAGCATGTTTGAAGTCTATAGAATGTTAGAAAACGATTGATTGACACGTGGCACACTGGGGTAGTCTTGCACAGTTATTCCAATGTGGTTTTACTGCAAAAGGCAAATCAATTCTTGAATCTGCAATTTAAAAATAACTTGTAAGAGCCATTGTTTTACTGTAAGCACTACCAAAAAGGCCACATTGTATTTTTCTATTCAATTTCAAATGATGCTTTATCAAGAACTCAGAGAAATTGTTTGATAGTTATAATTATTTTGTATTTAAAGCAATCACAAAGAAAAATCAAATAATAGTCAAACACTCTAATGTCTGCATATGTGAGCGGAGACTGTGACAGAGCTCCCCCAGCACAGACCACAGCCGGGACGATCTGATTGGACAGATTCATGGCTCTACACATAAACCAATATATACAATACCTGATGGAAACACATGATCTCACACCACAGCTTACAAACATGTCCCCGGGGCTACACAATCTGGGCCCTTTCAACAAAACGTCTTCTTTCTCCTAGTTTTAGACACTGTTTACATGTCCACTGTGTGTCTCCCAAACACTCAGATAGATTAAACAAACAGTGATTCAGCCTGTGACCTCATCCGGGCAAACACATGACATATCCTGCTCTACAGAAAAGACACTTTGTTTAACTTGGCCAAAGGTAACCAAACGGCTCGATAAACCAGGAGCTTATCCTGACACTGTCAATTACTAACTTTACTACAGCCGACATAATAACAACCATACTGTACGTGAATGAATTAAGCTGTTTACAGGAAGCAGGCATTCACACACCCACCAATCAGCAACTGCCCTGGACAAGGCTTCTTTATGTATTGTTTTTGTGTATGTGTCTTGGGGTGTCTTTGTATTGTATTTTATATAGACCTAGAGTCTGTAAGTATTATCATCATTATTAATATTATTATTATTATGAGTAGTAGTAGTAGTATATCATTACTATTATTATCATCATTTATGTATGTATTCATTTATTTATTTATGTACTTATTCATTCATTTTTTCAAGCTGGGCAATACTTGTTGTTAATATAAATGTAAATCTCAGTTATAGTTGTATAAAGTTGGATAACGTGTTCATAACGTGTTTGCAATAATATTCACCACTCACTAAGTCATTTTCATTTCATGTGCTAAATGCTAGAGCTAGAAGATGTTCTGATTACAGGTGTGCTTACATAAAACAGCAGCTGAAGGAGGTGAGGTGGGTGTGACTTATTTGTTGAGGTTGTATTTCTTGTTGCAGGTGGACAATGCCCCCGCAGGCTGCTGCTAAAACCTCTGTCCATCTGTCCCACCTGCCTCCAGCTGTCCCCGTCATGGAGCACGGATTAGCAAAGCTTAAGTCAAGATACTAAACGTTCTGCCACAGCCACGAGAGACAAACCCTTCCAACGGAGCCCAGACCCTCTCTCCAACACGTCTGCACTGGACCAGCTCTGACCCACATAAACTAGAGAAAGTTTGGAGTGATGAGGACATTGTTTTGATGACTGTGCTGGTCTCGAGCTCATTCAGCCTAAATGCGCAGGAGCAGTGTGATGGGGAGTGCAGCGCCTTGGGGGATGCAAGCTATTAGTGTTCAATGGGATGTGATGCGGGAGGCAGCGTCCCATCTATGAATACACTCAGCGCTGCTCTCCCGCTTCCTACATTCAGCAGCTCACAAAGGGCCACAATGGTGTCCTTTGCTGTCTTGGCAGGCGGAGGCAGCTCCTGGCCGTGGTCAGAGCCATGTGGGGGGGTTAACACCACACATCCAGTCTGCACGTGCCCAGCCCGCGGTCTGCCAGTGGCCGGACAAAGGAGATGATGTCATGCTTAGCCAATGACAAAAGAGTCTGGGTTCTTCTGGCCCTCCTCTTTTACCCAGCTAGCTCTAGCTTGAACCAGACTAGCATTAATCGCAAGCCTTATCCTCTTTACTGGGGGTGGGGAATGGATAATAACAAAGCAGGCGTGCAGGCGATAGGAAGCAAAGAGACGGGGATGGCTGCATGAGAGAGACAGAGCTCAAATGAGAGTCAGTGCTCAGCAGGGGCACAGTGGGGGGCACAGTGCAGTGGGGGGGGCACAGCGTGAGTCCATCACAACATAAGGCCTCACACAGGGATCCAGTCCATCACCACACTACACTTTCTACAGTGAAGTTATCAGCACAGAGGCCTCATCTATGCCTCATTTAAGTCTCACTACTTCAGTGCTACTGTAGAGAAACCATATAATAAATAGTGTACATACTGTATGAAAGGTGGAGTGTAAGGTTTGCCTGTAAAATGCACTTTTATGGGTGTGCAACTCCAGTGAAAGCAGAAAGGTGTTTTACAAGATTCTAATCCATTTCATAAAAGTTAAAATCTGGGTGAGAAATCGTACTTGTCTGCCAGAGGCCTGTAATAAAGGCAAATTAAAGGATCATCAAATGGAACTATGTGTGAGAAACACCAGACACAAGAAGGCTTCAGCAAATGTACCAGTTAGCAAACACCATTAGCTGAACTCAGGGTCAAATAACACAAGCTACAAGCTACAATGCCACTCTTGAACATTTCAGGGTCAGTCACCAACAAGAGCCAAGTGCAATCCAACTGAAGCAGTCAAGCCAACAACCATAAACTCATATGGATTTCCAATTCTGTAGGGTCTGTTATGTGGTTAGAATGGAACATTTAAACGTAAAACTGGTGCTACGGTGCTTAGAATCAAGATATCTAGAGTCTATTTAGAAAGACATCCATAAATAGGTTACTAACTGGAATTATAATGGAAGAGGATAGATATAAAACTGCTCCTGGCAACAAGAGCAAAACAAAAGCAATAGCATTTATGGACTGCCATTACAGTAAATCCTTGTGTCACACCTCCAAGATACCAGATGACACACACATCATTCTTTGCTCGGGCATTGTTGTACAAAGTGGAGCATTTCAACAGATCCAAAAATAACATGGAGACAAAGAGTGCATCTATTTAAAGACAACATGCAGTTATTGTCAAATCACAATATAGTTAATATATCATTCCACATAGATCACACACAGGCAACTTTGCTACTGCTGCAGTTGCCTTCAGATTCACACAGTGACTAAAAATACAGCGTGCCAGAGCTGGACAGGCCATGGAAAGAAGACTGTCATATTCAGAAAAGAAGTCATGGAAAATGAGAGGATCCAATTTCAGGGCCACTGATAAACAATAAACTTACAGTACGCCTGCACAGCCGACAAAAATAGCCCCACTCGTGTGTGCTGCCTGGATTAGCACAAGAAGACCTCGCAGTGACCAATAATTGACAGCACAAGACAGCTCACTGTTTCAACCAACAACAACAAAAATGCCATCTAAGTTTAGGTAACATTTTTCTGATTCTGAGACACAATTGCTGCAGTAAGTTTGAAAAGAACATGCACCAAAGTAACGATTCTTGTTGCATGGATATTTTTATTCTTGCATAAACTTGAACTAGAAGTACTTGGATCTTCTATACCAGACAATAGTAGGTTAGCGATGGGATTACCTTGCGTGGGTAAGCTTGAACTAGGTTTGTGTGAGTGTGTGCGTGTGTGTGTGTGTGGGTATCTGTAGGTGTGTGTGTGTGTGTGTGTTTTTATTGTGCGATTGCGAGGGGGGTGTTGGAGTCCAATAAGCATTTCATCCAACCCCTTTTCAAACTATATTTAACTGAACTTCTGCATCCTTTCTGTTTCTTTTTGTTGTGCTGTATGAAAATTTAAGTCTGAAATAAATACTAGGTCACTGGTGCCAACATTGCTCTACTACACATGCCCAAATGAGCTTTTTTTGTGCGTGTCTCAGTAAGAGGAACCATTGTGTTGCCATGCACGGTGAGTAAGACCCCTCGTCACTCACCTTGACCTTGCCGTTGGGCTGCAGCAGCTCAGTGACCGAGACTTTGTCCTGCTGCAGACGCCTCTTCACCAGTTTGGAGCAGCACACGTTGATGGCCCCCTGCACGTGCCACGCGTTGTAGTCCGAAAACGTCCTGCTGTCGATGACAAGCAGCCGCCCCGCTCCCCTCTGGATCAGGCTGGCCAAACGCTTGATGTCCATGGCGCTGCGCTTGGTTGGACCTCTATCCCCGCCGGCCATGACGCGGAGTGGTTTGGAGATTTGGATGCAAGAAAAAAGCAATGGGCGACACGAGACGAGGGGGCGTGAAGAGCCGTGGTCAGAGGAGTATCAGGGGAAGCAGCGGCGGAAGATCCATGGTGCCTGAGAATAAACAGAGATAAGAATGAATCGGGATAAGATCACAACACGGGAGTATAGTTGGCTTAGCTTAGCGCTCAGTGTGTGCTTCGTACCGAGGCTATTATTGGTCAGCGGTGATATTCAAAACGGCCCCTGCCACTTCGGGGATGCTGATAATCAAACAGCTGTTCATTAAACGCAAGGTCGTGAATTACTCCCGCGTGCTCCTCATGCTAGACATGAGCACATACCGGCACTTATGTGCACTTAACGGGACAGCTAAGTGAAGCGATGAGCAACTTTTTACAGCCCGGACAAGACATATTTAAAATAGCCGCTCAAGAGAAGTTGCTAAGATGCTTCAAATTCCAGGCAGATCAAATCGTTGGGATCTGAATACTAAGGCCTAAGCCAGACATGCACGAACAATAAGCGTGTACAGTGTTGTGGTGCTCAAAGATCGGGGAGGTCACTTGTGCAGAGACTCGTGAAACAGGAACCTGAGATAAATTAAGAAAGGGGAATTCAAAGAGCAGGTCTGGTCAGGCCTGGAATTGGCAGAGTGACATGTCGTCTATGCTCCCTCCTTGGATGTATTAGCCAGAGGAAAACTCATAAACTAAACAGGAAAGCGACTGTGGTCAAGCAGGTGGCGCTCGACAAGTGATAAGGTCAGAATGTTTGTTTTATTCATCTGGGCGCACGTGGCATCATGAAAAATGGATAGGCCTCTTCTCGTTTACCCCAAAGTCTAAATGGAGGGTTACACCTTGGCTGAAAAGGGAAAGTACAGAGGTAGGAGGCACATACAGACATGGAAAGGTTATGGTCTGTTGTATCGTTTGCATGTTCAAGATCAATTATACAAGAGATGTGGAGCTTGATGAGCAGGGCGCTAAAAACTGCTGCTAAAACTTTTTCCCATCACCCGATTTTTTCCAAAGACTTGCAGACCTGCTCAAACTACCAGTCTTCTAGTTCTGGGCTATAATGTCCATTTTCAAAAAGTTTCACATTTTGAATGATATAGCCTCATGTTAGTCATGTAAGAAAAGATTGTTGTCCAGAAAGCAACTGATTTTGATGCTGATCATTTGGCTTGATGCCAAACACAATTTCAACACTAAAAGCTAATATAGGCAGGTGACATGATGCACGACAGGCTCAAACTGATGTGTACAGTACTGTATACTGTATGTCCCCTTAAAGATGGATCCGCAATTGTATTATGAGATTATCCTGTGCAACATCATTGGACAATGTATTTCATCTTTTAACACTGTTAGTGTGAACGGAGATATCACACACACTCGCACACACTGGATTGATGAGAATTGTTGACAGAGAAGCATTACAAGACTGGACCAACTGACAACTTGTGGACAGTAATGTTTTAATAATAAGAAATTATAAAAATGCATTGTTTTTTTTCACTCCATCCACAATGTTGATAAACTACTAATTTAGCCACAGCTGCCCTGGGGTACACTAACAGAAGTGAGGCAACCAGTATGTGCCATCTGTCACACAAATACTAGACTCATTCTAGGCAATGTGGGTGAAGTGTCTTGCCTAAGGACACAACGACCATTTGGCACTTTATAGCCGCAGCCGCTACATTGTGGCTCCTGGTGTTCCCAGAGGTCTCCCATCACAACACATGCTTAGCTTCAGTGCTCTGACAGGATCGGGCTTTCACATCCCTCCAACCAAACCTATGGTAATGCAGGTGGAGAGAGCAAATATGAAGGACCTGGACACCTGACCAGCTTGTTGCCTTGGGGATTGTCCTAATTAACAAACATGTCACAAAAGCTTTTGGATCAATGATATTGGATTGTGAAGACACATGGTTCTAACAATGAGTAGATTCCAATTCTCAAATTGGCAAGGTAGTTAAGGAGTTGAATATGCAAGATTCAAGGCGTTGCAGTACCTACATTTCTACTTCAGCTACTTGGACCAAGCCTAAACATGGATGCTGGTGCTGCTTGGCAACCTCCATGATGCAAGAGAAAGAACACAGCAAATGTACGCTCTAAAAACAAACCTTTAGACAACATGAGCGATGCCTTTGCACAATATCGTACCACAATTAACATGTTCAGTGGAATGAGCTAAACTGCAGAAGAACAGACACACAGGCGATGAGACCTGGAGGATCATGTTATAGGGGCATTATTTAGCCTGGATTATAGATCAACAACAATCACACGACTGGTATCTACTGACCTCTGCAGCGTGTGGGTTCCCCTTCAGTAAAAACAGCCACATCATCTGTGGGAGCCTCAGACTGTGCAGCACCAGCGTCTCCAGGGGCGTGAATCTGCCTAGCGTGTTGCCATGCGCCGCATCCAACAGTGACCACTGCCCTGCTCACAGCCTCTCCCACTATTCTCCCACAATCCCTCCTGCTCTCTTCATTACGGCTTCCCTCGGTCAAGTGCAGACGGCTCGGACAGGGCGGGAGGCGTGTGCCGAGAAACATGGCAGCTTTATGTGCTGCGTCTTGAGGGAAGCGCAGAAGTGTTGTGGGACGCTGCACACACTAATGCGACGTCAGCTACAACTGACAGAAGCAAAACAAACAGACTCTAAATATTCTACAAAACTGCTATTGTGCGACAATAGCTGTTGTTTTTCAGTTGTTTCTATAGAAACAGCCCGACTCAGGTTATTGAGGAAGAGGAAGCACATAGGATGCATCTGGTGTCGGTGCTGCAATGGGGCAAAAAGAAAGATGGAAGACCAAGAAGTCTGTGTACTTCATGTAAAAGTATTGAAAATCAGATTTTAATCAATACTAAAACTAGTGTCAAAACTATGGTCTATTTGATATATTTTAGAATATATTAGAATAATCTGTTTAAAACCTTGAAACCACAACATTATTTTTGAGGTAACAATCACGGCTTTTTGGTCGTAAAGAGCCTCTCTAAATAATTGCTGTGATGTATTGAGTGACAACGCTAATTTAATAATTGCCACAATGACACTTGTCAATCAGAGCTGTGCCATTCAGAGATTCATGTTAATTCATGCTGTGTACAAAACATTTTTACAAATTACAAACTCATGAAATCAACTTTGGATATAAAGCCGTTTCATAAATCAGGAGTTTATCAGGAGACAGATACAAAACATGATATTTAGTGAAAAATATTAGATATTTAGAAAAAACTTATATCTAAAATACAGCTGTTTTTATCTTTTTTATTTAAGTTTATATAAATATATTTAGGTATAAAAATGAATACTTATCTGATTTGAATTGCTCTCAGCCCTGATAAATTGAAAGCTTAATCTGTGGTCAATATCAAAGCCTCAAACAATTAATCAACTAAATAGCTAAAGCTGACATCCCTAAAACAAAATGAAGCCAGTTTTTTTGTTTAGCACAACCATGTCCTGTTGTCTGGAAGGATAGTCTCGCCTTTACAGCTCTGTGTGGTCCAGGGAATTTAGCAAAGGCCTAAAAGATTAAGATATCCTTTTTTCGTCCCACAGTGGGGAAATTTCAGTGTTGCATCTCAAGTTACAGAACAGCAGGAATGAGGAGCACACAGCACAAGATTAATGAATAATAACTCTATAATAAAAAATGAAATCTCTAACTCTAGCACAAAAAGAGTGGCAGGAGCTCTAGTGTGTACTATTTCTGTCTGGTCCACACTGGGCTGGTCTGGCACAATATTTCCAAGGGGGTTTTACTGCAAATGGCAAATAAATTCTTGAACCTTAGAAGAAGAAACAGTATAAAATCTTTATCTTTGGCACCAAAAAAAAGAAAAGAAGTCTTGAAAACTCCAATTTAAAAAGATATGCACAAGTAAAATCTTTATCTTTAGCAAAATAAGCGAATAAGTCTTGAAAACTCCAACTTTAAAACAATATTGTTGTAGATTCGCACAAGTCACGTAATAATTCACATATCAATGGTGTTGGGAAATGTTCGACTCTTTTGTAGCGAGAGTCAAAGCCACGTTGGGAAATAGTCTTTACGTGCAGAGAAAAGCCTGAGCTAAGCATGATATCTGAATGATAGCTTTCATAACGACTAAGACACACACACACACACACACACACACACACACACACACACAATGAGAGCAAGTGCAGGCCAACCCGGAGCTGATGTAATGCCAGGCAGGTTATTCATTAAGTGCTGGATAACGTCACCTGCGGCCACTGTCTGCAGCCGCCCGGGATAAAAGTGCCTTTCAGCTCTGCACAATGACAGGCCCAGCTTTTTTGTTTAGACACAAACAGTGACATCATCAGAGCTTTCCCTGCGCCTTTTCAAACACTGCTGCTTCCTCCTGAACCTCCATTTGCATCCGCGCACACTGTTTGTTTATCCAGACTGCAAGGGTCCAATTTGGACAAAACACAGAGTTGACCCTAACAATATTATAATAGTATGGTGTATGCATGTGTTTTGGGAGACTGAGGAGAAAACTTGGGTTGTATTCCTGTGCCAATCTTGTTTCTGGACTTTATATAAAAAGGGCTTGGCAATCTAAAATTTGATCTGGTATCTTCCTTATGTTATTTCTGTTTTATAGCTACTTGCACAAGAAGTACCTAACTTTAAACAACAAACAATTCATCAACCATTAAACAAAACCCAATCTAACTAGTTTTCTAAATAGCTCAAAACAGTTTATTTTACTCTTATTTAAGTACTTTTAAATCAATAGAATTGTTACCCAATCTAACTAGTTCCTTAAGCTCTCTCACAGGGCAATAATATATTTTTATGTTTTTTCAAATATGCAAAGTGGTCTTATTGCTTCACAATGTTTTACTTAATGTTCCTTGTGAATTAGTTTATATTATTGCTGATAATGTGAGGGGAAAAACTAATGAAATGAAAATTGGCAATTTGACTACTTATA